CCACCAATAGCCATACTCGAACCCCAAAACTTTTTAAAAAACCTGGATGGTGGTTGTTGGATGGGTTTGGGTGGAGAGTGGTTGTGGGATGGGTTTAGGGGTTGGAGCTTGAGGGTGGTGGCCATGGGGGAGTGTAGAGAGAGAGAGAGAGAGAGAGAGAGAGAGAGAGAGAGGCCCTCATATTTAATAGAAACATTGACAGAATGTAACGGTAGGACCAATGGAGCGATTAATACATAGTTAATGGACCATTTGGACTAATAATTTAATTGAGGGACCAAAATGTAAATCGAGTACATATTTGAGGATCATTTGAGTAATTTATCCAAAATGTAAATATTCATGATAACTGTTAAATGATTAAATGATTTCAAAATTGACTTATTTATTTATTATTAATATTATTATTTTTGCAGAGATGTTCCTTTAATAGTGAACTACAAATGAGTGGTTTTGAAGAATACATAAATCCAACGTTTAGGGCATCATACATATGTTTATATCTGTTATCTATACAATGCACAACGACGTTTAGTGAAAACTATGTTGTGGACTTACATATTAATGATTGAATAAATCTAATCAGTTATATGAGTGGTAGCATAAAAAGATATATATATATATATATATATATTGCCAACAGGATGTAGCTTAGTGAAAAACGGGTATTGACTTGCAGACTAGTAGTCTTAAGTTTGAAATCCTCATCCCCCTGTAATTTTGACTACCACTTGAATTAAAAAAGAAAGATATATATTTAATGGATTGTAACTTGCATATAATATAACGTTGAGAACCAAGCCCTCAATTGATAAATAATCATTCTCGGGTTCCTAGAGGATCCTCTTTGTAATTTCTTTTAGTGGTAAAAAAACAAGGTGATATTATTTATACCACAGTTATTGACTACAAATTGCTGACCGCATGTGTAATACAAGTGGGACCCACATACTTTGGAATGTGAAACAACATTATTGGGAAAAAAAAAGATAAATAAATCATCATCTTCACCTAAATATATACAATAATTGCAAGCAAGACAACTATTACATGCAAGACATAAAAGTGAAGCCTCAAGAGTCAAGACCTTAAAAAATAGAACATCAAAGAATAATCTAAGTGGATATGCCAAAATTTTTACTCACAAAAGAAACTTCAAGTTCTCGTTTTCTTGCGTGTGGAGGGTTATGGGCTGTAATGTAGTAATGGAATTAATATTTACTCTTTCTGGTTGTCTAGCGTGGTTGTACTTGATTCTTTGGTTATGGCAAAAGAATAGAATCTTTTTCTTTTTCTTCAAGTCTCGTTGTCCCTTTTCACTAGCATGGTATAGCTGGTACCATTCCCACATTTTTTTAAAATTTACAATTGTAATTATATAGGAGGTTAACACATTCTTTTTCTGTATCGGTGGTTACCATTCCAGCTCAGACGAAACATGAGAATGGAGATGATATCAAAAAGTTTCAGAATTCTTAATCGTTTGGGATTAGAAAGAATATATATCAGAGCCAATTAAGCAGTGTTGGATAGATCAATTAAGACGTAGGACTGCCTCTCTCACGTTGTATGAGAAACAAAACTCTATAATAATCTACAACTTCTTTGTTATAAAATTTTAAGGTGAGACTTTGTCGTTATTGTTTTCATTAATCATTTTTTCTTTTAGAGTAAGTAATTCAGGTGTAAGGCCAGATGACCGTACGTTACTCAATATAAATTGTTCACGTGTTTCACTCAAGTCATAGCACATATGAAGGCACATGCTGAGCATTATTATTCCACATTAAGAAAGTGAAGCTTTAAAATGTCATGATGCTTGTAATATCGAACACAATTGATTTTGAGTTGAAAAATAGCTACATTTGTAATATCATGTCATCATGTTATCTAATGTGTCATAAATCGGCTATCAATTTCCATGACTATCACATATATGTGATCAAGCAAACATACAATTGCATGTATGGTCCATTTGATATGAATCTCAATCAATAAATTATGTAGGTTTTCCTATTAACTATAATTATATACGTCATCTTCGTAGCATCCACATAGATGAAGTGCAAGACGTTGTGACGAGTACTATAGTGACATTCCAAACATTCCTCCTTGACGTACGCCTAAAGGAACATATTGGACGTCCACTTAAGTTCAGTATATAAGCAAATGCAATCTCCTTCCTCAGATCACCCCCCACCTCTACTTAATATTCCGAGTAGTTTCTCGAATGGCAAGTACTTCAGTCTTAATGATTAGCCTTCCTCTCCCAACAATGGCCATCTCTTCATGCAAAGGTCCATGCAAAAACCCCAACGACTGTGCTGGTCAGCTCACCTGCATCAACCTCAAGTGCAATGACGACCCCGCTGTTGGGACACACATATGCAGTGGTGGCGGAGGCGGAGGTGGAGGAGGAGGAGGAGGAGGCAATTGTAAGTCCTCAGGAACTCTCGATTGCGGGGGAAAATCATTCCCCCAATTTACATGCTCGCCGCCAGTGACGTCATCCACAAGAGCTAAACTCACGCTCAATGACTTCAGCGAAGGCGGTGAAGGTGGGGACCCGTCAGAGTGTGACGGGAGATTCCACTCCAACAGTGAGTGCGTGGTGGCACTTTCCACTGGGTGGTATGACGAGGGATCAAGGTGTGGAAGGTTTATAAGAATTACGGCGAGCAATGGGAGGAGTGTGATGGCGAAAGTGGTGGATGAGTGTGATTCGGTGAACGGATGTGACAGAGAGCATGCAGGTCTGCCGCCGTGTAGGAACAACATTGTTGATGGGTCTGCAGCAGTGTGGAATGTTTTGGGATTGAACAAAGATTTAGGGATTGTGGACGTCACTTGGTCCTTGGCCTAGTTAAATCACGACCCTACCGTAGTAGTACTTAATTAATCTAAATAAATGAAATAATTAAGGACTATGTTTCATATATGCTATACCATGATGCCAAGAAGTACGTGTGGTGTTGTTTGGATCATGAATTTGTAATTTATGGAATTAATTTTCCCATTTTGGTGTTTTGTTATATTTATGTAGTTGTCTTTGTTGGGAGCATTCCAGCTTAGCCAAAGAGCTTAAAAAATCTTTGGCCCCATTCCCAATTGGTTCTAGATTGGATGTTCACATTTTACATGCTTCCATATATCACAATAACATGTTTAGTGCAAAAGACGCCCACGTAAGGGATCGTCTTGAGACTATGATGCAACGAGTTTAGCAAATACATACATGGACCATTGGGATTACGTTCATACATGAGAAAAGTCTTAATGACTTATATCAAATAAGTGTCTCTTCGTATGTGGGAGTTATCTAGGTTCATGAATAAAGTTATGGAGAGTCTTTTCATGTTTGTGAGTTATATGGAGGTTTAATGTAAAATCATCATTAGGAGGGAAGTTGGGATATGAAAGGTTTAAGAGAGTGATGAAGAGTTATCTCATCTTGATTGAGAGGCACCTATAAATAATGCATGAAATTGTAAGAAAGGGGCAGTTGATATTTGTTATTGAATGAAGATTGAGATTTTTTTCTCACCTCTTTACTATTTTCCTTGGTATTCTCAAAATTAACAGATAAGAGTTTTTATTCAGGGTATTCTTAGAATCAACGGAGTTAAGTTTGTTCGAAATTATCTTTTGTTCTTGTTTCGCTGCATCAGACTAGCTCTGCACATCCATTGTTAACCTCAGGTTTCTCTGCGAGTCTCACGAATACTTTACCTTAATTATAAACATCACCAGTAATCATGTATTGCTGGTAATTAATGAACTAAGCTTGAATTTAAGATTTCATGTAGATACAGGGGCCAAATAATCCCTAAGAAATCTCACCCGAAAAGAAAAGACATATTGGGGAAGAGGCACAAAGTAATTTCTGAAGTGTGTGATTTGATGAGACAAGCCGGCCAAAACATAAATTAGAAACAATATGGAGGGGCATGCATTGCTGGAGATGACCGAAACTAATTGACTCGATATATAATTAACTGTGTTATTTAGCATCTTCTTAAATATGACAGTCACCCAATGATAAAATATACAGGTCCTACTAATTAACTATGATTAATTACATGTCATCTTCTTATTCAACAGGGAAAGTCCATTAGAGCAGCTGGAGTTACACCTCTGCTTCAGACCAGAGATGCACGCAACATACTCGACGAAATGCCCAAACCAAACTGGGCGCTACGCTCAGCGTGAGCACTTTTTTTTTTGGTTAACACAACCTGGTCAAAACGACGTCGTTTTGGACCAGGCTTTAAAAAAGTTTTTTTTATTTTTATTTTTAATCCTGGCCAAAACGACGTCGTTTTGTACCAGGATTTTTTTTTTTTAAAAAGGGAGAAAAAAATAGGGAAGCTGCTGGGCCATTTCTTTTGGGCTTTCCGATTTTTATAATTCCTTATTAATTGGGTTTTAAGTGGGAGTTATCTTTATTCAATTGAATTTTGGGAATTCCTTATTTAAGTGGGATTGAAATTCTCTTTATAAAGGACCAATTTAACATTACTCAATTTCATCAAAGTGTGTGTGCATCACAAGAATCCTACTTTTTTTTTTCCCTTCTTGAGTACGCCAATCCAAAGGAAGTCGAATGCATTTTTTTTTTCTTGAGCAAAATCCAAATTTGTTTTTTCTTTTTTTTAATAAATTTATTCTTTCTTATTTAGCTCTCTCTGTATTCGTAAGATCAGTATGCTCTGAAACCTTGTCGACAACAATTGTAGGTTAATTGTAATGTTATTTTTTAAATTTATTATGAATAACATTAGTATTGTTTAAATTATACGGATGTTTAGTTTTCTTTTTTTTTCTTTTTTCTTTTTTGAGCTCTTAGCTTTTGAAAATTGCACATCTGCTGAAAAATTCCTGGGTCCGCCGCTGACGAGTGTCATAGTAAAATTCCAAAAGTAGAACACACCTAAACGAAGAGCATGCATGCAATGATCCCTACTTAATATTAATGTAATAAATTTTATCAATGAGTTGAAATGGCAAGTTTAAAGTTGTTGGTTTCTCTTCTAATAATCTGCAATATCATCTACCTCCTTCTCCCATCAACGACCATCGCCTGTGATCACTCAAGAACTCTGGTTTGCAATGGTTTGTCGTACCCACAATTAACATGCTCTCCACCGGTGGCATCCTATATAAGTGCCAATCTCACACTCAATGATTTCAGCCAAGGCGTTGAAGGTGGGGACCGGTTGGAGTGCGACAACCAATTTCACGACAACAATGAGCTGGTTGTCGCACTGTCCACGGGGTGGTACGATAGCGGATCAAGGTGTGGAAGGATGATAGTAATTTCGGCGAGTAATGCTACTATTGGGAGGAGTGTGGCTGCTAAAGTGGTGGACGAGTGTGATTCGGTGAAAGGATGTGATTCGGAGCATGCAGGTCTCCCTCCATGTGGGAACAACGTTGTTGATGGCTTTGCAGGTGTGTGGAACGCTTTGGGGCTAAACAAAGATCTAGGGGTTGTTAACATTAGTTGGATCATGGCCGAATAATGAAAGTGTACGCGGAATTGTGTAACACCACTGTGACAAATGTTAAATTGTGTGTTTAAATTCATTAGCCAAATAAACCCCAAAAATCCGAGCATCTACCTAAAACTAGTTAAACAATATAGGTAGAATATTTTCAGGTTGTATTTCATTATCCAAAAGAAGGTATTTATAATACAAAGATGTAACCCTAGTAGGGTCAAATTAGGAAAAAAGATAAAATCATAATTACACAATATCTGTACAAAAGGAAAGAGATATAGTCCTCATATACTAGGAAATAAGTTTTTTAATTAAGTTAGGATCTCACTAACATTCCCCCTCAAGTTGGAGCAAAGATGTTACGCATGCCCAACTTTTCAACCGAGTTGAGAAAGACCGTAGTAGACATAGCTTTCGTGAGAACATCTGCTAGTTGATACTCAGATGATATAAATGGAAAAGAAATAATTTCAGCATCCAACTTCTTTTTAACAAAATGTCGATCAACCTCCACGTGCTTTGTATGATCATGTTGCACAGGGTTATGCACAATTGCAATTGCAACTTTATTATCACAATACAAATCCATGGGTTTTTGGGGTCCAAACCCAAGATCTCTCAACAATCTTCTCAACCATAGTAACTCGCACACACCTTGAGCCATCCCACGGTACTCGGCCTCGGAACTAGACTTAGACACCACTTTTTTGCTTTTTACTCCTCCGAATAACAAGATTACCACTAACAAATGTGAAATACCCGGACGTAAAACGTCTATTAGTGATTGAACGAGCCCAATCAGCATATGTATACCCTTCCACATCTGTATAACCATACTTACAAAACATTAATCCCTTGCCAGGAGTTACTTTTAGATACCTCAAAATGTGCATCACAGAACCCATATGATCTTCACTACGAGAATGTATAAACTGACTTATTACATTCACTGCATATGCAATATCAGGACGTGTATGAGTTAAATAAATCAATTTTCCCACAAGTCGTTGATAACGCTTTTAATTTGTAGGGACTTGATCATGATATAACTCCAATTTATGATTTTGTTCACTAGGGGTATCAATTGGTTTACAATATAACATTCTAGTCTCTGCAAGTAAATCCAAAATATACTTTCTTTGAGACAGAAAGATACCATGTTTAGATTTAGCAACTTCAATCCCAAGAAAGTACTTCAAATCACCAAATGACTTCATCTCAAACTCTGAAGCCAAATACTTATGAGTATTTTGCATTTTTGACTGATCATCTCCAGGCACAATCATATCATCAACATAATCATCTCCAGGCACAATCATATCATCAACATAAATAATTAAAGCTGTCAATTTACCTTTATGACGCTTTAGAAACAAAGTATGGTATGAGCTATTCTGCACATATCCAAATTTCTTCATAGATGCTGCATATCTCCCAAACCACACTCTTGGAAATTGCTTCAATCTATATAAGGACTTCCGCAACTTATACACAACACCCTCCTTAGAGGTTACAGGAATACGAGGAGGGAGATCCATGTAAATCTCCTCCTTGAGGTCACCATGTAGAAACACATTTTTGACATCAAATTGCAATAAGGGCCAGTCGCAGTTAGCAGCTAGCGATAATAGTACACACACAATATTGGGCTTTGCCACTGGAGCTAAGGTCTCTAAATAATCCACTTCATAGGCCTAATTATAACCTTTTGCTACTAATCTAACATTGTAACAGTCAATGAAACCATCAGCCTTATACATTAAAGTAAACACCCATCTGCATCTAACAACTTTCTTCCCTCGTGGCAAAGGAACTAAATCCCATGTTTTATTCTTGTTCAAGGCATCCATTTCAACATTCATGGCATCCATCCATTTGGGATTAGATAAAGCATCCTGCAGCTTAGTTGGCACACATACACTAGATAATTAACACAAATATGATACATATGACTTAGACAAACGATGAGTTGACACATAATGGCTAATGAGATATTTAGATTTGGCATATATATCAGGAGAATATTGTACTTTAAGTTTCCCACGAGTGGTTCGTGGGGGTAACTGATAAGTTGACACAAGTAGATCATTAGAAATTACCTCACTTGATTCACTATCACGAGTAGATTAGGCCACTGGCAGGGTAGAATGGGGTATTGCATCAACCTCATCTATACAAGAATCACTGTCACTTTTTTCAGATACATGCGATTGGTCACTTGCTTCAATGCAACCAGTCGTTTCGACATTAAGAGCACATGCTTCATCTCCAGATATGGGCAACTGGTCAAGTTTCAAAGGGCGACCGGTTGTTTCTTCACAGAGATCACATGTTTTATCTTCAGATATGGGCGACCGGTCGTTTCTTCACAGAGATCACATGTTTTATCTTCAGATATGGGCTACCAGTCGCTTGCTTTAGTAAGACCGGTCGTTTCCTTCTCGAGAACAGTATCTTCAAACACATTATTCTCTAATTTAAGTCCAAGATTCTCCAATCCAAACTCTCCAATTCACTCCTCCTCTCCCTCTAAATTGGAGAGGAGGGAGAAACATAATATGATATTTCTTCATGGAAAGTCACATCCAAAGTAACATGAACGTTCTGGGCAGGTGGATAATAGCACTTATAACCCTTCTAAGTATAAGAGTAACCAATAAAGACACATCGTAGAGCACAATGATCAAGTTTACTTTGTTGATGAGAGTAGACATGAACATAGGCAACACACCCAAAAACTTTTAGGGGCAACTTGGAGATGGAGGTAGGAGAAACATTGTTACCAAACACATCATGCAGAGTCTTGAAATCAAGAATCCGGCTAGGAGTACGATTAATCAAATAGGCAGCAGACAAAACAAAATGCCCTCAAAGATGATGGGGAACAGACATATCCAATATGAGTGAGTGGCAACTTCAAGCAATTGTCGGTTCTTTCTTTTAGACAAAACCATTTTGTTGAAGAGTGAAAGGGGTTGTCGTTTAGTGAATAATACCTTGAGCACGGAAGAAATACGCTAAAGTATTATTCACATATTTGTCTCTGTTATCAATTCAGAATACTTTGGCTCGAGCATGAAATTGAGTAGACACCCTAGTACAAAACTCTGGAAGGATGGAAGTAATATCATGTTTATATTTCAACAAGAAAACCCAAGTGAGTCGGGTACAATCATCAATAAATGTGACGAACTAATGAAATTCGTTCGAAGTAATGCGAGCTGGACCTCACACATCAGAATGCACTAAATCAAAAGGTTTTGTAGCGTTACTGTCACTCAAAGGAAACATAGTGCGATAACTCTTGACCAAAATACATGTCTCACACTTAAAATTGGACTCATCACAAGAGCGGAATAAAGATGGAAACAGACGCTTAAGGTAGCTAAATGATGAGTGTCCCAAGCGACGATGCCATAACTAAATTTGTTGTTTGTCTTTGACATTGCAACTTTGAATAGTATTAACGACACAATCACGAATTGGGGCAGAATGCAATGTCAAATAATATAACCCCCATATCCGTTTACCATGCCCAATCGTCTCGTGAGTCTTGAGATCCTGAAAAATGCAATGTGTAGGATAGAAAGTAGCAGAAACATTAAGTGTATCAAGTAATCAACTAACAGATAACAAGTTACAATGGATATTGAGAACTAATAACACAAGATAAAATCATAATTACACAATATCTGTACAAAAGGAAAGAGATATAGTCCTCATATACTAGGAAATAAGTTTTTTAATTAAGTTAGGATCTCACTAACATTCCCCCTCAAGTTGGAGCAAAGATGTTACGCATGCCCAACTTTTCAACCGAGTTGAGAAAGACCGTAGTAGACATAGCTTTCGTGAGAACATCTGCTAGTTGATACTCAGATGATATAAATGGAAAAGAAATAATTTCAGCATCCAACTTCTTTTTAACAAAATGTCGATCAACCTCCACGTGCTTTGTATGATCATGTTGCACAGGGTTATGCACAATTGCAATTGCAACTTTATTATCACAATACAAATCCATGGGTTTTTGGGGTCCAAACCCAAGATCTCTCAACAATCTTCTCAACCATAGTAACTCGCACACACCTTGAGCCATCCCACGGTACTCGGCCTCGGAACTAGACTTAGACACCACTTTTTTGCTTTTTACTCCTCCGAATAACAAGATTACCACTAACAAATGTGAAATACCCGGACGTAAAACGTCTATTAGTGATTGAACGAGCCCAATCAGCATATGTATACCCTTCCACATCTGTATAACCATACTTACAAAACATTAATCCCTTGCCAGGAGTTACTTTTAGATACCTCAAAATGTGCATCACAGAACCCATATGATCTTCACTACGAGAATGTATAAACTGACTTATTACATTCACTGCATATGCAATATCAGGACGTGTATGAGTTAAATAAATCAATTTTCCCACAAGTCGTTGATAACGCTTTTAATTTGTAGGGACTTGATCATGATATAACTCCAATTTATGATTTTGTTCACTAGGGGTATCAATTGGTTTACAATATAACATTCTAGTCTCTGCAAGTAAATCCAAAATATACTTTCTTTGAGACAGAAAGATACCATGTTTAGATTTAGCAACTTCAATCCCAAGAAAGTACTTCAAATCACCAAATGACTTCATCTCAAACTCTGAAGCCAAATACTTATGAGTATTTTGCATTTTTGACTGATCATCTCCAGGCACAATCATATCATCAACATAATCATCTCCAGGCACAATCATATCATCAACATAAATAATTAAAGCTGTCAATTTACCTTTATGACGCTTTAGAAACAAAGTATGGTATGAGCTATTCTGCACATATCCAAATTTCTTCATAGATGCTGCATATCTCCCAAACCACACTCTTGGAAATTGCTTCAATCTATATAAGGACTTCCGCAACTTATACACAACACCCTCCTTAGAGGTTACAGGAATACGAGGAGGGAGATCCATGTAAATCTCCTCCTTGAGGTCACCATGTAGAAACACATTTTTGACATC